CTGGTTTTTACCAGTTGGGCAAGAGTGGAAGAGAGGAAGGTCAGCGCCGAGTGGAAGCTGCCGGGCTCTTTGGCTTGTCCCTCTGCCTCGGCTGGTGGTAGTGTCTGGAACCGACGTGGAATCAGACTTTGTCCAATTCTCTTCGGAAAGGATGGCGTGGCGGGGGGGGGGGGGGTATATATCCCTGACAGCCGAGCAAGACAAGAACGGAGTCCTTGCGCGGCAGGTGATAGAAACCCGGGTGTTCCAGCCGACCAACACGTGGATCGGGTGACTCATCCAGTATCGGTATTCCTGTGACGTCACGGGCCTTGCTGCTGCGGTTGCCGCTCGCTCTCCAACTCTATGTTGCTCTTCTCTGTTTCGAATTAAGTCAAGATACTCACCACTTTTTTCTCTTTCTAAGAGTATATTTATAGAAGGAAAAATGGACTAGGCTTACGCCTTGGCCGTCGATTCGTTCGTAACGGTGCATCTACTGTTGAGCATCGCAGTGACCCTATTGTCGAACATCCTTGAGGCAGTGCCTCCGCCATCAGCTAGTGGGCGGAGTCGTGATCCGCACGGGCGTGCTGGGCGGCCAGTGGTTCTCGAGAGCCATGACGAGCGTTGCCCTAGGAACCGCACTCGGCGGCGAGATCTGAATCGGAGTTGTTACCTGTCATGGGTTGGTCGATGGGCAATGAATGGCCTTTGGTGCCAGGATCTTTCCGCATCATAGGAACCGCATCAGCTTCATGTTGATTAAATTCAGTTGTGGATAAAAATTAGATGGAATGACTTAGCCATGTATATTCTTCTTTGATTGATCACCTTTCTTTTATTTGAAGCAGTACCCAGAGATTAGACCTGTGTAGAAAATTGGCGTTAATGATCAGGTGATTTTCTCTAAACCAGGTGGAATATTGAACCTGATCTATTCAAACCATACTAGGTCGGAGCTTGAAATTTACATTTGCCGCACTTATTGATCCTTGTTGCATGCATGGTGAACCTCCCTAACACTCTTTTCCCGTTCCCACTCTCTTCCTTCCCTCCGCTGTACCGTCCACTCGCCCGCATTCATGTCACGCCTGCACTTCCCGCCCTTGTGTTTATTTCGCTGATCGAAGATTGCGAGGAGGTTTTTGTTTCGTTCAGTCCCGACGCAAGTCTACTTCCCATACCGTTACCTTTTACACGCCCAGTCACAGTCCCGTACATTTACGGTTCCCTCTCCCCTGCTTCCGTTGCCTCAATAGACTGCCTTTGACGCTGACCCGAGGAGCTGCTCGTGCTCTTGCTTATTGTTCATTTGACTTTGTTTTATGATAAGCTAAAGCTATTTTTTCTAGAAGGAAAGTGAACTTGCCATGCATGTGCACTTACTCCACGTTGTTATGTATTGTAGTGGAAGGGAGCTGGTGTACATTGTGT